ATCAGATCAGCAAAACTAAAGCATCTGACAACACATAGTACTGGTGACGATGTGAAGCAAAGAGAGCTCTCATTCAGTGCTGGTGGGAGAGTAAACTGGTACTGACACTTCAGAAAAATAATTGGAGAGTGTAGTGTGCAGAAAAATTTCCTGCAAAAGATGTCCAGACTGAAGTGCTGGAACCTGTGAATGTTACCTTAAATGGCAAAAAGGATTTTGCAGATGTAATTAAAGATTGTGAAATGAAGAGATTATACTGGATTATTTGGGTGGGCCCTTAAAGCAATCATATATATCCTTCTAAGAGGGAGGCAGAGGAACATTTGACACAGACAGAAGAGGAGAAGGCACCACAGAAGCAGAGCTTGGAGTGATGCTGCCACAAGCCAAGGGATGGTGGTGGCTACCAGAAGCTGGGATAGGCAAGGAACATATTCTCCCCTAAGCCTCAGGAGGGAGTGCAGTCCTGCTGGCACCTTGATTTCAGTCTAGTGGAACTGGTTGTAGATTTCTGGCTTCCTGAACTGTGAGAAAATACATTTATATTCTGTTAAGCCACCATGTTTATGGTAATTTGTTGTAGCAGTTACAGGAAATAGTATAGACAGCCAAACGCATGCATACCCATACCTATGTCCAGCAATTCTACTTCCAGGTATATCCCTACAGAAACACAAGCATTTGTTCACCAAAAACTATGCACACGAATGTTCATAGCAGCATTATTCATAACAGCCTCAAACTGGAAACAACCCAAATGTCCATCAGCAGTTCAGTGCATGAACTCATTGTGTATATTCATACAATGGAGTACCATGATACACCAATAAATGAGTCAACTACAGACAAGGAAAACATAAAAGAATCTCATAAACGCTGGGCAAATGAAACCAGACACAACAGCAAACATATGGTATGATTCCATTTATATTATGTTCAAGAAGAGATAAAATTAACTCTATCACTGAGTGATGAAAAACTAGAAAATTGAAGAAAAACAAGGCAGTGGCTCATGCCTGTAATTCCAGCACTGTAGGAGGCTGAGGGGGATTGCTTGAGCCCAGGAGTTCAAGACCAGCCTGGGCAACATAGTGAGACCCTGTCCCTACTAAAAAGAAAAAAATTAGCCAGGTGTGGTGGTGTGTGCCTGTAGTCTCAGCTACTCAAGAGGCTGAGGTGGACTGCTTGAGCCCAGGAGTTTGAGGTTACAATGAGTCGTGATCGTGCTGCTGCACTCCATTCTGGGTGACAGAGCAAGACCCTGTTGAAAGAAGCAAAAGAAAAAGAGAAAGAGAAAGAAAGAAACGAAGGAAGAAGGTGAGGGAGAGAAGAAAGAAGGAAGAAAAGAAGGAAGAAAGAAAGGAAGAGGTTGGGTGCCGTGTCTCATGCCTGTAATCCCAGTACTTTGGGTGGCTGAGGCTGGAGGATCACCTTAGGTCAGGAGTTTGAGACCAGCCTAGCTAACATGGTGAAACCCCGTCTCTCACTAAAAATATAAAACTTAGCCAGGCATGGTGGCATGAGCCTGTAATCCTAACTACCAGGGAGGCTGAAGCAGAAGGATCTCTTGAAACTGGGAGGCAGAAGTTGCAGTGAGCCGAGATTGTGCCATTGAACTCCAGCCTGGGCAACAGAGTGAGACCTTGTCTTGAAGGAAAAAAAAAAGGAAGGAGAGGGAGGGAGGAAGAAAGGCAGGAAGGGAGAAAGGGAAGGTGGAAAGAAGGAAAAAAGGAAGGAAGGAAGGAAGGAAGGAAGGGAGGGAGGGAGGGAGGGAGGGAGGGAGGAAGGGAAGGAAGAAAGGGAGGGAGGGAAGGAAGGGAAGGAAATGGAGGGAGGGAGGAAGGAAGGGAGGGAGGAAGGGAGGGAGGGAGGAAGGGAGAAAAAGAGGGAAGAAGGAAAGAAGGGAGGGAGGGAGGAAGGAGAGCATGACAGAAAGGTAGGCAGGTGGCTCCCTGATGTCCCCCAGAGTCCCTGCTGCTAATGTATTTCTTGGCATGGGTGACACAGGAAAGGAGGGAGGTTCCCTCCTTCATTTTCTTCCCTTCCTTCCCTCCCTCCCTCCCTTTCTTCCCTCCCTCCCTTTCTTCCTTCCTTCCTTTTTTCCTTCCTTCTACCTTCTCTCCCTCCCTCCCTTCCTCCCTTTCTTCTTCCCTCCCACGCCTTTCTTTTTTTTTTTTTTTTTTAAGACATGGTCTCACTCTGTTGCCCAGGCTGGAGTTCGGTGGCACAATCTTGGCTCACTGCAACCTCCGCCTCTCAGGTTCAAGAGATCCTTCTGCTTCAGCCTCCCTGGTAGTTGGGATTACAGGCATGTGCCACCATGCCCGGCTAGTTTTTATATTTTCAGCAGAGACGGGGTTTCACCATGTTGGCCAGGCTGGTCTTGAACTCCTGAACTCAGGTAATATGAACTGTTTCTGTCCTGCGCTTTTAGGAATGTTATTTCACAACTAAATATATCTGGGCGGTGGCGGTGGTGATTCCTAACAGAACGCACAGGGAGCTTCCCGGTGCCCTCAGCGTCCTCTGGGCTCTGACCCGCTGTGTCTGCATCATCGCAGGCACCCTCCAGCGCCAGCGCCCAGGCCAGAGTCTCCTCAGGGACCTGTGGGCCATTTGCTGCCGGCCCAGGCATGCTGGGCCTGTCTCACGTGACCTCCTTGTGTGGTAACTGTCGGGTTCCAGGCCTGTGTCCCCACCTGTGCCTGCTCCCCACGCGGAAAAACGTGGAGACCATGGCTGCTGACCCTCGAATGGGTGATGGTGGCACGTTCCCACTTACCTTTTACTCTGTCCGTCTGACTATATCCCATTCAGGCACATCCCCAGACCTTTGCAAGGGCCGAGAAATTCCAGCAAAGGCTGTCCCGTGCCCGGAATGCCCCGTCACTCTGCGGAACTCCCGCTCAGCCCGCATGGGCCAGCTCAAGGTTCCGCTCCTCTGTGGGGCCACGCCGGCCTCCCACATCTCCCGTGGGCTCCGATCTCCCGTGGCTGCACGCCCTGTCTCCACACGATCCTGTTTCTCTACCCCCGAAGCTCCCTGGGTTGTTCTCCGGGCTCAGATCTGACCCACTTCTGAGCCCCGAGGGTCTGTCCCTCACCCCCGCGCGCCTCGCCGGCACTCTGACTCACTCAGGCGAGCTCCACGGCGCTTGCGCTCTGGAGGCCCGAGCCTCTGCCTCGCGGTTCCCGCCAAATGCACTTCCCCAGCGCAGATCCCTTCAGCCTCAAGGTTGGCCCTCCTGACTTCCGGCAGGCACGTGCTGGGCGGGTCCGGGGCTGAACAGGGCTGGGGGGAGGTGGCCCAGAGAATGGGGTGGGGCCAACAACGTGGAACGGAAGCAGGGGGCAGAGCCGGAAATGTGTCCAGCCTTAAGGTGGGAGCCGTATTCAAATGAGGCCAGGAGAAAAGCCAGGGGCTAGGGGCTCAAGAGAATGGCAGGTCCTAGAATTTAGCCCAGTAGTTGACAGCCCAAACACAGGTAACCCCACCTAGAGGACAGCCTCAGCCTTAGGTCATGAAAATGGAAGGGTCAGGGCAAGGGAGTGGAATCCCCACCTCATTCCTCACCTAACTGCAGTCACTAAGGTACTTTCCATCTCAATGCTCCCACCTCTCAGGTAAATCACCTGCCCTCTCTCAGTTCATTTCACATCAAACATGGCTTTAAAATCCCACAGCGTGGCTGAGGGCTAAATAGACCTTGAGTAGGTGTCCGGTGGAACTCAGCTTCCTCCCAGAGAGGGTCAAGGCAGAACCTGGGATCACATAGCAGCTGGCTGGGCCAGGCCTTGGCTCCTGGATGGGACTCACGACTAGTCTTTGCCACTCCCCTCCTGCACATTAAGACAGGTTAAAGTTCCAGGACAGGCTCCAAGATGTGGGCAGTGGTATCCCTCCCTGCAGGAAAGGCAGCCTTGGAAATCCCTGCCACCCTACCCCCCACTCCCCACCCCTGAGTCCCTTCCCCCTCAGGAAGGAAAACCCTGAGTATTGAGTAAGAGAAACTTGAGTTCCTGAGCCCTTACACGAGGGGTGGGGGAAGGGCAAGGGGCCACAACCTCAGCTGGAGCCACGGAACAGCAGGAGGAAGTGTTTGGCCTCCGAAAGAAGAGACCCAGGTGAAGAGAAGGTCAATGTCCAGAAGGTGTGACCAGTAGGGAGCCACGTGGAGATGAATTCCAGGCAGAGACCACCTGGTTGCCTATCTTTTCCATTTCCAAAGCTTAGGGGCTCTATCAGCCTTGGGTGTAGCTGGCCTACCTCACGGAACAAATTAAAAATCCTGGGAGCAGCTGGGCGCGGTAGCTCATGCCTGTAATCCCAGCGCTTTGGGAGGCCAAAGTGGGCGGATTACAAGGTAAGGAGATCGAGACCATCCTGGCTAACACAGTGAAACCCTGTCTCTACTAAAAATACAAAAAATTAGCCAGGTGTGGTGGCAGGCACCTGTAGTCCCAGCTACTCAGGAGGCTGAGGCAGAAGAATGGCTTGAACCCGGGAGGCGGAGTTTGCAGTGAGCCGAGATCACATCACTGCACACTAGCCTAGGCGACAGAGGGAGACTCCGTCTCAAAAAAAAAAAAAAAAAAAAAAAATTCTGGGAGCCCCTAAGGATATATAGGAGCAAAGCAGGTGTGAAGATGGTTGGAAGAGTTTCTGACTCCGAGGCAATATTCTATTTCTTCCTTTGACAGATGAGAAGACTGAGGCCCGGAGGGAAGACAAGCGTGTGGTTATCAGCTGGCATATGGTCCAGCATCCTGTCCAAGCTCCAGCCCCTAACACTGGGCCAGGAACACTCCTTCCCCCAGCCTACTGTGGTCCAAAAGCTGGGCGTGGTGACAGGCACCTGTAGTCCCAGCTACTTGGAAGGCTGAGGCGGGAGGATCGCTTGAGCCCAGGAGTTTGAGGCTGGCCTGGGCAACATAGCAAGACCCTCAACTCTAAAAAAATTTTGAATTAAATAATAAATAAAGAGTCCTAGAGAGGCCGATGCCCACCTATGCCCTTTCCAGGGCAGTTTAATTGGTATCATTTGTAAAAGATCTTTTCCATTACCCCCAAAGCCTTTGCATTCCCTTTCTAAGAAGGCAGCTGTTTACTGGTTTTGGCCCCATGTGCAACAGTAGGCCTTGGTCTGATGCTGCCACAACACTCCCATGTGACACTCCAGGTGACAGTCCAAGTGCAAGTCTATGTCCAGCTCTGGGCAGCAGGGGGAAGGTGAGGAGAGTCAGGTCTATAAATTGAAGCTGGGCAGGGCCCTGGCTGGCTGGAGATGTGTGGGCAAGGTGAGCAGGCCCCATATGCACCCCAGCTCCAGTGCCCACTGGTGTGGCTGAAGCCCAGGTTGGGTGTGGTCAAATTAGAGGTCCTGAGAGAGAAGCCCTTAGGCCAAAGTGTGTGCTGGGAAGCAGGCCAGGGCAGAGGCCCAGGAAGATCTCAGCAGGGGCAGTGTGAGCATGAGCAAGTGTGTGCACCTGTGAGCGTGCAGACAGCCCAAGATCAGAGATACAATGTGCAGGGGCCTTTGGTGAGTGTGTGGCTGTGCCCCTCCCTTCTGAGATACAGGCCCAGCCCCTGCCTCCAGAGGCTAAGGGAGCACACCTGGGGGTAGGAGGAGTTTGGGAAGGAAACTCAGCTGGAAATGGTTTAGGCCTCAGAGCCCACATCCTGTGGGAGGGACTGTCAAGGGGCCTGCTGTCCTGGTCCTGTCGAAGTCCTCAGAGATGCTGGAGTGACAGTCCTCTAGGGGTAGAGATGGTCGTCTTCCCAGGAGAAGGTGGCCCAGAGACTCAGAGGTGGGATCAGTCCTGCCAGTCCTGGATCAGGAGGCCTCTGTCGGGCGCCGCCCCCCTTCCTCCTCCATCAGCAACAGGCGGCGCCGGCCAGCCTCATAGTCAGCCTCATCGACACTGACCAGCAGGCGAACAGCCTCCCGGCCCACAGCCTCTCGCAGGGCCTCAGTCAGGAACACGCCCCGCAGGGCCTGCAGCAGGGCGCCACTCAGATAGTCGCCCCAGAAGGCGTCCAGATAAGAGAGCTCTGAGAACTTGATGTCACAAACCACGGAGCCCAGGTCCCTTGAGCGCAGCACCGCGGTGGCCTGACCAAACACATCCAGCTGCCGAGCCAGCGCCTGGGGCCGCCGGGATGCCACGCCCTGCTCCAAGGCTGGCCCATGCTCGCAGTACTCCGCTCGAACCCGGAGCCGGATGTCTGCAGGGGAAGGAGGGATTTGTCAGGGAGGGGGCCAACACCAGACACACTGCTTATGGGGACCACCACCACCCTTCCTCCCTCCAGCCTTCTCCCTCCACCCACTTCCGGTAGCCACACCCTAGTCCTGACACAGCCTCCCCGGCTCTGTGGGTTCCCTGACCAAGTACGTCCTCCTCCTCTCCAGCCCCACCACCTCCTCACTGCTCCAACAAGCCTCTCCCCTGCCAGGGGTGCTCTTTCCCTTGATCTGCACAACACTTGCTCCCTCTCTTCCTGCAGGTCTTTGATGAAAAGCCACCTTTCCAACAAGGCCCACCTAGACCAACCTATTTACAACTGTAACCACCCACCCAGCCCTCTCCACAGCACACCAGGTCCCACACCCTGCTCCATTTTTGTCCAAGGCACTTATCACCTTCTAACTTCCTCTGTCAGTTACTATCTGGTCATCATCTGTCTCTACACTCAGTGTGGAGAGACAGATGACAGGAAGGAAAGGGTTTTTGTCTGTTTTGTTCACTTGTGTAACTGTGGCACATAGTGGGGGCTCAATATGTATTTCTGATGAACTAATGCATGAACTAAAGGACTTGCCTTTAGGCAACCAGCCTCACACCCAGCCCCCAAATAATGAGATTCACATGGTGCCAGCCACATCCCCATCCCTCCCATGCACCTGAGCCACCACTGCGGACGCGCAGGGTCCTGACCAGGCCAGGGAGGCTTGCAGCTGGACCTGTGCTGGCTCTACTGGGAGTCAGGTGCTCTCTTGCCACAGAGCTGCTAAGATGATGGGCTGGAAGCCCAGAGCTGCTGGGGGCCACTGTGCCAAGAGGAGAGAAGGAAGCCTACATAGGGCCAGCCCCGGAGAGAAAAAGATTCCTGAGGTCATCACATTGGCCCATGTTCGTAGCTGGATTTTCAGCTACACTCAACTCCCCTTTTTGCTAAAGCCAGTTTGGGTTGGTTTCTGTCACAGCTGTCCCCACATATGCCCAAATGAGGTGGCAGCTGTGCACAGGGGACAGGACACTGGACTTCTGAGGCTATCCTGTAATCATGAACTTCGCTTACCACCTCTCTTCCAGGATTTCTGAATTCCCACCCATCACCTGGGCTAGAGACAGTACCCCCATTCTCTCTACACACCCAGTGAGGCTGTCCTGAGGATTAGCTGTGAGCCAGAAATAGCAGCAGCCAACACTTTCAGAGTGCTGACTATCTGCCAGGCGCTACACCAAGTACTTGAATCACAGAAACTCATTTAACCTACAAATGACCCTGTGGGACAGGCCCTATTACCTCCAACTTACAGATGAAGAAACGGAGGCCAAGAGAAATTAAGTGACTCACCCAAGGTCACATGGCCAGGCAATGGCAGTGCCTGACAGAGGTCATTTAACCTCCTATGTCCCTGAGAGTAGGCTCCTCAATCAATTAATGAAGTGGATTCCCACACAGAAGCCTTCAGCAGTGTGACCTGTGACAAGTCACAACCTCTCTGAGCATGGGTTCCTGCCTAAACAAGGGGACAATTCCTGCTGTGAGGAGCTGTTAAGAAGATTAAAAAGAACAACGGATGGAAAGGAACAAGCTAACACTGCACACAGCGTCCAAGGGGTGCTCCTGGAATGGCAGCCACCAACCCCTCTGATATGCCAATTACCTGACCCTTGGGGATGCAGTAGAATCAGCCCTGTGGGGCAGGGGCCACCATTAGCCCACTTGACAGATAAGGAAACGAGGCTCTGGGAGGGAACATCTCATGCTGTGGCTCCCTTCAACTTTCATAGACCATGTCAGCCACTGAGCAGAAAAGAAGGCAGGGCCCCTGCTCCCCAAGACAACCTCACAGCCCTGCCCACTTCCTCCTCCCACCCCAAACCCTTCCTCTTTCTGGCTCTAGGGGAACCCCATCCTCTCCACTCAATGCCCAGGGAAGCCTGCCCGGCCTCAGCCCCCGGGCCCTCCCACGGCATTCAGGCCCAGCTGTCTCCATCCAGAGGACCAGGTCCTTGACTGAGTCCTTGACTCCAGTAAGCAACTGGCCATGACCTCAATCAATGTGGGTGGGAAAGCAGGGGGCTGGGAGGAGCAGCGCCTGTTCCAGGCCACACAGGGGTGGCTGGCCACAGAGGCAGGGCCAGGTGGCAGAGTCCTACAGACCTTGAGGTGAGTCCCAGCTCTGCCACTCTCTAAGCTGTGGGGCCTTGGGCATGTGACCTCACCTCTCTGAACCTGTTTCCCCATCTGACACACAAACAAACAAGAGGTCCCTGCTGCACACTGAGCTCACAAGGATTAAATGAGGCAACTCGTAAAATGCTTGACTCACAGCCCTACGACCAAGGCGGCTCCCAAAAACAGGAACTGTAATTTCGACACCCACCTCCCTACCACTATGGCCCTCACCCAGGCCTTCACCTCTCTCTCATGGGTCCCTAAGCCAACCTCCTACTTGGACTCCTCCAACCCCTCCCATGTCCCCCCATACCCTGCACTCGAGTCACAAGAAAATGTTCCCAACAAGAGCCTTACTTAGAAAATGACCTGTCTAGCCGGGCACGGTGGCTCAAGCCTGTAATCCCAGCACTTTGGGAGGCCGAGATGGGTGGATCACGAGGTCAGGAGATCGAGACCATCCTGGCGAACACGGTGAAACCCCGTCTCTACTAAAAAATACAAAAAACTAGCCGGGCGAGGTGGCGGGCGCCTGTAGTCCCAGCTACTTGGGAGGCTGAGGCAGGAGAATGGCGGGAACCTGGGAGGCGGAGCTTGCAGTGAGCTGAGATCCGGCCACTGCACTCCAGCCCGGGCGACAGAGCAAGACTTCGTCTCAAAAAAAAAAAAAAAAAAAGAAAATGACCTGTCTACCTCCTCCATCCAGAACACTTGCCAAGGCTCAGCTAGTGAGTTGAGTCCTCTCTCAGTTCGTCCTTCTCCCCAGCGTGGACCTCTAGTGTAAATTCTCAATTCACCCAGAGCCCCTACCATGTCACAGTGGACAGGGGAAAGGGACAAGGCCAGAGCAGATCTCTGTGCCCCCGTTCAATCTTTTTTTTTTTTTTTTTTTGAGACAGAGTCTCGCTCTGTTGCCCAAGCTGGAGTGCAGTGGCATGAACTCGGCTCACTGTAAGCTCCGCCTCGTGGGTTCATGCCATTCTCCTGCCTCAGCCACCGGAGTAGCTGGGACTACAGGCGCCCGCCACTGCGACCGGTTAATTTTTTTGTATTTTTGGTAGAGACGGGGGTTTCACTGTGTTAGCCAGGATGGTCTCGATCTCCTGACTTTGTGATCCGCCCGCCTCGGCCTCCCAAAATGCTGGGATTACAGGCGTGAGCCACCGCGCCCGGCCTCAATCTCTTATCCAACAGATATTTCATGAATGCCAGGCATGCTACGGTGACACGAGGGCCCTGCCACAAGTGGGACGGGGAGACGTGTAACCCACAGTTAGGAAGCACTCCCCACAAGCCAGGCTCTACTCAAGGGCTTTCCTCTCTCAGCCCATCTAATCCTCAGAGCACTTCATCAGCCCCGTTTACAGATGAGCAAATCCTTCAGCAGACCACACTCCCACCTCTGAGCTGGAAAGCATGATCATGGTGCACAGGGAAAAGACAGGGAGGTGCCACCAGGCAATAGGAGAAGGCGAGCCTTCTCTGAGCCTCTGCTCCACCCTTAGCACCCAATCATGTGCTTTACCCCTCCCCAAAATAATCACAACAGGTGACACCTGCATATAGCTTTTACTATGGGCTGGCACAGTACTACATACTTCACATCTGCCGACCCCTTTGATTGTCCCCACAACCTTATGAGGTGATGCTGTTATTATCCCTTTTCTGCAGATGGGCAAATTGAGGCACACAAGTTGAGTCACCTGCCTAAGGCCACCAGACAGGAAATGGCAGAGCTGGAATTTTACCTGAAGTATTGGTTCCTGCATCTGCGCTCTTAACTACCCCATCCTGTTTGCTACCTCACACAGAACCATACACATCAAATACACAACTAAAAGACATCTGAGGGCCAGCAGAGAAAATTAGACAGGGCAAGTTATAGTTCAGATTGAAAGGATCAGAGATCTCTCTAGAAAATGACATCTGAAGTAAAATGTGAAGGAGGACAAGTAGGTTTAGAAAGAAAAACAGGAGAGAAAAAAAGAATGGCATTCTCAGGAGAGATGAGCATTCATGGAAGTCCAGAGAGAAAATGAACTTCAGGCCTGCACAGGCTGAGGGGCTGGTGTGGCAGGAACGTGGAGGGGAGAAGGGTACTAGAGGAGAACTGGCAGCCAGGTCAGGGAGGCTGATCTCAATCCCAATCGCCAGCAGACTCAAGATTCTACGGCCTCTAGAGGTGACCACACCTCTCTGCACCTCGGTGGCCTCCTGTGTAAAACAAGGCTCCCCCTAGCAGCCGCCCACGTGGGGCTATTGTGATAATTTGGGGCTGAATGCAAGGAAAGAGGGGAGGCCAGGAAGGCCAGGCATGCAGAGAGGACAAGAGGCAGGACCTGCTGACTTAGGGGCGACTCCAGTTGTGCTGTGAAGTGGCAGGTGGGTAGAAACAGGGCCACGGCAGCAGGTGGGGAAGGGTCACAAGTGGCTGTCCAGGATGAGAGCAGTAGACACGGAGAGAAGTGGAGGAACTGTCCAATGTGGCCCTGAGTAGGGAGGCGGGAAGAGTATCCAGCACCATGTGTGCTGGACCGGGAGCTGGCTGCATCTTTTCCACTTTGGCAGCTGTGGGGAAAAGTTCCCTGTCCCTGGGAGGGCAGGGGCAGGTGCCACGCCTTCCTAGAGAGGAGAGCTGCTCCTGCTTCCTCCACGCAGGTGGGCCCGGCACCCTTTTGTCCCCCACCCCCACCTCACCAGTCTCTCTTCGGGGCAGATGGGACATCAAGTGAAATGGGCTTCTCAGTGGGGGACCAGGGTGAAGTTCGAGGGAGCAGGTCCTGGGCTGGGTGTGTCTGGGAGCCCAGAGATGAACC